GGCTGCAGTGGCCGGGAGCGACCACTGCACTCCAGTCTGGGCGACAGAGTGAGACTCCAACTCAAAAAAATAAATAAATAAAAAATAAAAAAATAAAAATAAATTAGCCGGGCCTGGTGGTGCACGCCTGTAGTTCCAGCTGCTTGAGAGCTTGAGGCAGAAGGATCACCTGAGCCCAACATGTCGCAGCTACAGTAGCTGTGATCATGCCACTGCACTGTAGCCTGGGTGACAAAGTGAGACCCTGACTCAAAAAAAAAAAAAAAAAACTATTGTGGAGCCCACAGAAAAGAGAAAGTGAACCTCTGAACAGCATCTTGCCATACACTGAATCACTGGCATGATGGGAACCATGGAAGAAGTCTCCAGTCTCCACACTGAGCAGCTGACCGTTTAAAAAGAGACAAGGTGTTCCAGAATGCCAGGAAGGAGGCGAAAGCACAAAGTCCAGGGCAGAGCTTAGTGGTGGCTGGCCTCAACCCATGAAGGAACCACATACCATGTAAGGAGTTTGGGCACGTGTCCCATGGCTCAAGGGCTTCCAGTAGCAGTCTTTAAGAAGAACAGGGGCATGAACAGATTCCTTGATAAATAGAAATCTTAGGGGTATACCCAGGCACGGTGCCTGTAATCCCAGCATTTTGGAGGGCTGAGAAAGGAGGATTGCTTGAAGCTGGGAGTTCAAGACCAGTCTGGGAAACATAGCAAGACACTGTCTCTACAAAAAATTTAAAAATTAGCCAGATGTGGTGTACCTGTAGTCCCAGCTACTTAGGAGGCTGAGGTGGGAGGATTGCTTAAACCTAGGAGTTCAAGGCTACAGTGGACAGTGATCGCACCACTACACTCCAGCCCGGGTAACAAAGCAAGACCCTGTTTCTAAATTTCAAAATTAAAAAAAATAGAAATCTTAGGGATAGGTTGGAGGCGAAAATGGATTAGAGAGAAAATATTGGCAGGAAAATTAAACACTCTAGTGAAGAGATGATTAAAACTGGAACGGGCCGGGCTCGGTGGCTCAGTCTGTAATCCTGTGCCTTTGGGAGGCTGAGGTGAGTGGATTGCCTGAGCCCGCGGGTTCGAGACCCGCCTGGGCAACTTGGCGAGACCTCATCTCCACAATAAATCAAAAATGAGCCAGGTGTGGTAGAGCGTGCCTGTAGTTCCAGCTACTTGGAAGGCTGAGGAGGAAGGATCGCTGGAGCCCAGCAGGTCGAGGCTGTGGTGGCTGGGAGCGTGCCACTGTACTCCAATCTGGACGACAGAACGAGACTCCAACTCAAAAAAACTGGAACAGCAGGGCAGACCCTAGATTTGAGAGATGCTTCTCAAGTGTAACTTGGTAGGTTTTGGAGACTGGCTAGCAGTGGGTGAGGCAATGAGCTAGAGATGCCTTCAAATAGTGATATCATCATTTGTTCATCGTTCACCTAGTCCACATCACAGGCGCCATGTAAGCCATTCATGGGAGGTGAGACTGACTAATATCTTGAAGGGTGATGAGACTCTCACCGCCACTGAGGGAAAAAGCACTCCAGCAAAGAGATCCACATGCAGGAAATGATGAGAAGCTGAAAACTGCTTATTAGGAGGTTATTGGCAACTTCTGCAAGAAGAGTTTCATTGAAGCCAAAGCCAAATGGGGAAGTATCGGCTTGTGACTCACAGTGGAGGGGCATGTGTGTAGACTATCCTTTTAAGAAATTTGGCAGTAAACAGGAGGAGGAAGACAGAGTAGTAATATAAGAATGGGGAAGGGTTGACTGGGCGTGGTGGCAGGCACCCGTAATCTCAGCTGAGGTGGGAGGATCACTTGAGTCCCGGAGTTCGAGGCTGCAGTGAACTATGATCACTGCACTGCACTCCAGCCTGGGCCACAGAGTGAGACCTCATCTCTAAAAAAAGAGAAAAGAAAAAAAAGAAAGAGGAAAGGTTAAGGAAAGTGATGTGTGTACGTGTGCATGTCCATGCGGGTGTGGGTAT